ACCTTGTGTTCGTCTTGATCTCTGGGATTGAACAATATGATTTCTAGCAGGACAGCAGTTAGAAAGCTGGTGATGCTATTAACACAATTTTTAGTATCTATTAAATTACATAAAGGGAGATTTTTACTTAAACTATCTAAAAGTAATAACACTATTAACACAACAGCAGCAATACTTGTAAAACTGTTGATGCTAAAGCTTGAAGCCAAATCTTAAAGAAAGAAAATCATGGTCCAAAGCCAAAGAGGAGCAAGAACCTTCCACACGTAGAGAAATAGCTATTTGCACAAGTTTTGACAAAGAAAGTGTTGCATAGAAAGAAAAAAAATATATCAGAAACACTACCTTTGCATCGGTATCTTAGGCCACAACAAATCCATAAAATCTTAACGTAAGACAATCTAACTTTGTTTTGCTCATTAATAAACAATTCATCAAGAAGAAACACACCCAAAACAAATATAATTTGGACTAGAAAACAATAGAATCCATTCACAAAATGCATATTGTAGGTCAAAAGACCCAAAAATCGAATGTCACATGGTGTAAAAACCAACGATCCAGGTTTAATATCAGTAATAACAACAACCACACTACTAATTGTAGGGCTGTTGATGCTAAACCTTGGCCATCACTGAAAAAGGGCAAAATTATTGCAAAATTTTGACTCATTACTTGGATGCTACAAAAGTGAGGTTACCCATCCGAATGCCTCTAACATACGCAATTCCATCAGAAATAATCCACATAAAAATGGCAACACTAACTACACTAACAGCAGTAATATTTGTAAAGTCGTAGATGCAAAGTAATATAAGGGCCGACGTTATCGACAATCAGACCGATATTTCTAAACGACATAAATGTGATCAAATCAACAACAATACTATTGGTAAGGCTGAGGAGAGCATTCCGGAGGTGTGGAGTGCTAATTGTGATGTTGTAACATTATTTATAAGTAGCCCTAAACCTTTGTATCTTGTTTGGAAACCCTAATCCTATATATATATTAAGGGAGAATTTTTAATCAGACACATGGTGAAAGTTTAAGTAGTATAATCCACATGGCATCAAATTAGATAACCAAATCCACATGTCGCAACCACATTAATGGTAACTTTTCAATGTAAAAATTGTAAGTAACACTAAATTAACTAAAAATACAAAGTTAAAAAAAAAGGTAAAGTTAACGAAATTGTATTTGTTTAGCATAATTGGGTTTCCACTAATTCTATAACAATTGTGATTGTAATAAAATTAAAAATACTTCTCCTCTAGAAAGATTCAGAGTAATTAGGGTTCCTTGACCTATAAAGACGTTAAAATATTAGTAACTACTATTATGGATAGATAGCACTAACTGTACTAATGTCCTCTCTCTCTCTCTCTCTCTTTTTTTTCCCCTTTTTTTGTGATGGGTTAAATCATAGAATTTAGGGCTTTAAAGGGATCCAACAGTGGCACGCATTTTACTATATCTTCGTTGTACTTTCCCGGGAATTATTTCTGTTCAAGTATTTTTAGGAGCAGCGAAGAATTCTTCGATCTCGGCAGAGGAAGGCATCAACGCTGCAGGATTTCTCGGCGAGATTTTTTTTCTTTCGTCGAAGAAGACGTGGTAGCTGAAGATGATGACAAGATGAGTTTAGTTAGAAAACAATGGTTATGTGTTTACTTGAAATTTGGATGTTCAATGGAGCATTGAGTTTATGAATTTGGTATTGCGATGCTCCCATACTCTAAATTGTATTTTGTATAGTATTCATGATTTACAGATAGGTACGTTATAAATTTTAACGGGTTGCATCATCAAGAGAACTTTCACTTTGTTTGATGTCTCCATTTTTTCTTTTACCTTTTTTTTTTTTTGCATTTGACTTTAGATTATGAATATGTTTGAATAAGCAACAAGTTCAATGAAATGTTCACTTAGCTTTCATATCATGGCCTTGATCATATTCATTCTTTTGTCACACTCAACGCGTGTATTACTTTTACTTATAATTATGTAGCTTAGTTTTCAAAATAAAAACAAAAACAAAACTAAACAATCAACCCCGCCAATAATTACCACCATAATAAATTTCAGTCTTTTCTTTATTCATTGACCATAATGATTACAACCATAATGATCATAAGTCGCTAACCGTTAATAACTTCAATTCTACTCACGTTGTTCAGGAGACTATGCATTAAATTTAAACATAATTAAATATTAACATCAAATAACATATGTTAAAAAAAGAAAATTATAAGAAATACGTATTTAAATTAATTTATCGATCAAAATTAACACGTCCAGAATGAAAAAGAATAATAAGATGTATATTTTTTGGTTCCAAGAATAAAAGTTGTTTCAGCATAGTTGGGAGAATTAATACTCTATACCGGTGCTTTTTTTTTTTTTTTTTTACCTTTTCTTTGCATATGCATCTTGGCATTCGATTTTCATAATTAAATCTTCTAACTTTGATGAAGATTGGTAATCTACAACAAAATATTTTTTAAAAAATAATTAGATGATTCATTATATTTTTTCATATGATATAATGGTATAAAAAGTTGACGTTATGATGATAAAACAAAACGTCAACATTAATACGGAGAAAAGTTCCAAAATGAGAAAAAGAAAAAAAAAACTTTTGTGAGAGACAAACAGTATAAGAAAATTATATTAAAAAATTAAAAATAATTATATGGAGGAAAATTATGTGGAGAATAAGAAAAAAACGAGATAATAATGGTGAAAAACGAAATAATTATTACAAATTTTTCAATAAATAAAGCTTTAAAGAGAGGTTATCAATTTTTTTTTTTTAAAAGGTGAATACTATGAAACAAAAAAAATGAAATAAATACTATATTATAGGAAAAATACGCGAACAAACTTCAAAAGAAAAGTTGCTATATAGAGAAATTGAAAATAAATATAAGTTATGAAAAGAAATAGTGAGAAAAATTTTTGTTAGAGGGAGAGTTTAAAAAATATGACACGAGTAGAAATAGTTTGAATGATCATTAAGAAAAATTAAGAAAATACTTTTAAAAGATATAAAGTCATAAATCAACAAAACAAAAATAATGCACAATTATTCTAAATGTACTTAAAATAACAAAAATACATTGACATTGAAAATTACACAATTGCAATTTATATCATTAATATTACTCCCTCCATCTCATAATTATTATCCAGTTTAGATTTTCATTTTTAGTTCAAATTGTACTAAAAGTGAAATCTCAAAGTGGACAATAATTTTGGGACAGAGGGAGTATTTGTCTACATATACCATTCCATCCAAAATGTCATATAATTGTTAAATCATTAAACTCATATATATATTGAACATCCCGCACAACGTGCTGGGTAAACACTAGTATATATATTAAAGGAGAGTGGTTCGCAAAAATGAATTCAATTTAGTTAGACCATCAATAGCTTTTAGGGACACGTACCGTCTCCACGTTTGAGTTTCATTAAACGGTGAAAGTAATTTGGTATATATGTTAATCCAGATTTTACTATTTTAATGTTTTACCTTATTTATTTTCGAAAAATAAATAATGTGATCATTATTTTCTTTAATACGTTTTAAAATTTAAAATATTTAAATTTTGAAAATATATATCAGAATCAAATCTTTCAAATTTCGAATATTCTCTAATGCGATTTATTTAATCTTCTCTAATACGCTTCTCTTTCTCTATAAATCAGATAAATGTAAAATCATTCACCAAGGTAGATCTTTTTCTTCTGCCTCCTAAAATTCTGTCCTCTGCCTCTGCCGCTGCTGCCACCGCCACTATTGTCATGTCCTATGTCGTTGCTGCCGCTATCAGAGGTATCAAACTTGATATCCTACTCTCATTTCTTCTCTTTTATTTTTTGATTCTTTTCTGTTTGAATAAAAACTTTCAACTCACGACATATATAGACTAATTTTAACTATTGCCTAGATTGATTTGGTTGGCAGTTGCGGCACCGATAGTGGTTGCAGGGATCGATTTGGTTCGATTTTTTCCTTCTCAGTTTACACACCCACGCAACAAGTACTAATTCTCATAGAATCACCATTGATACGATTGAATATTAATTTTCCCGTAAATTTGGATGTTGATTGAACAGAGTTCGAATAATCAGAGATTGATAAAATCCCTGTGATCTTCCATAATTACAAACTGAGGAGTATTCTATTAATTCGTACGGGATTTGGGAGTTAATTAAATTACGGGAACCGGCGATCCAATTACACCAACGTTCTCAAAGGAAAAAAAAAACAAAAAGTAGGGCAATTAATTTAAGGAATTAGTGGAACCGTGAATAACTGAATCAGTCAATTAGTGAATTAGCATCTTAAAAGGATTTGACATGTGGAAATTAGAAATCCAAATAAACAAAAAAAACCAAGTGGACAATCCTTCAAAGAAACGGCTTAAAAATGGCCATGTTTGATATATATGGTGATTGAACTTGGCAAGAACCTAACATGAGTACATCAACTCTCACGCTTTTTGAATATTTTTTCCGACTCTCATTGTCAAATGGATACCTGCAAGTATGTAATCTTTGAATTAGTATTCTCTCATATTTTTGTCTCCTGTCAAATAAATAGTGGCCTTTAATATATTATTACTATTAAGTTATTCAAATTCCCACCAAAATAAAAGGAAAAAAACAAAATGACAAAAAAATGATGTATATTCAGTTCGTCAAAAAAAAAAAAAAAAGAATAGTTCTATCATATTTTTATATCTGTGATCATAAAAATCGACCTTTATGTATTAAATTTATTCAAATCTCCACCAAAATTAAAATGAGAAAAATACAATTCCATCCAAAAAAAATAGTCGATCTTGTGAAATGGAAAAAAAAATTCATTCGTAATAATTATTAGCAGAAATAACCTGATCGGGCTGTTATGAATGTCTTGGCCCATCTTCCTTGATAGCCCAAATTTGCGCATTTTATTTTCAGGCTCAAATCCAAATAGTTTCTTCTTCTTCTTCTTCTTCTTCTTCTTCACTGAAACTAAAAACACTTTTCTCCCTCTTATTTTTAAAACCCTTCAAACCCCTAACAAACTTGCAGTTGCAGAAGTGAAAATTAAGGCAACAAGTAATCTCCGCCATGACCAGAAACGACGGCGTATGCATCACTTCATGCTCCCTGAAGCTCCACCCTTTCAACCACCCTTCTTCTCCTCCTTTATTCTCAAACCTCCTACAAAATACACTCAGAAGCCCACTGAATTTTCCCAATTTCAAATTCATCAACTTCACTAAGCCCCTGAAGTTCCCAAATTTCTTCAATTTCCGTCATCCTACGAATTCTTCGCTCCTCCGGTTCGCTTCCGTTTCCATTTCTCAGAGCAATGGCGGTACCGGAGGAAGTCCTGATGCCGACTCCGGTGGGGTGACTCAGTCGGTGCCGGCGGTGAAAAGTTCGAGCCGTGAGGAAGAGAGGGTTTTGATTAGCGAAGTGTTGGTGAAGAACAAAGATGGGGAAGAGCTTGAGAGGAAGGATTTGGAAGCGGAAGCATTGAATGCTTTGAAGGCTTCTCGCGCGAATTCTGCGCTGACTGTTCGTGAAGTTCAAGAAGATGTCCATAGGATCATTGCTAGTGGATACTTCGCTTCTTGCATGCCGGTCGCACATGACACCCGGGATGGCATTCGGCTAGTATTTCAGGTAGCTGCTATTTGTAGTTTTGGTTGCTTTCTATCTACATTTTCAGTATACATGCATACCCTCAACAATGTGGGTAATTAGGTAGTCAGGTGAATGAACAATGGTAAATGACTTCACTGGGAGGGAATGGGTATGGAATTTGGAGAGTTGCTTTGGATGCCAAAATTAATGTGCAATTCAATGGTACTGTAGAACTTGGAGAAAGCTTTAAGTTAATTTTGTGTGGTTAACAGTAAAGCTATAAATGTTTTGTGATGTGATGATTGAGCAGAGATTAGATATCTCTGTTAAAAATTTAAAATTGATCTTCTTTCACCATGTTAAACTATAAGGGTTCAAGTGCTGTCTCCTTTTTTAGTTTGGTTCCTATTTCGGAATCTGTCTTTTCACACGGTGTTATTAGCTTACCAATCATGATAGGTATCTTTTCTGCTTCCCTGTCCTCATATTGGTACCAAATGGACTTATGTGGTTCTCTGATATGATTATAGTTGGATATCAGAACTCTAGAACTACCGAGTAATAGAAGTAGATACATGTATCTGGTGACTTAACTACTGCCTCTTTTGTGATAATCAAGAGTCTTGGATTTGTATTCTAAGCTGAAAAGATTAGTTTTTACTTGTATTTCTGTCTTTGTATAGGCTTCCTTTTATTTATTTATTCATTTGCGTTCAAAATAACATACTTCTAACTAGTGAGGGAGGCCTGATGCTTCACTAAGAGCTGTTGCCTAGTCAGCGGAGTTAGTAGGTCAAAAGTGTCAGAAACGGCCTAACATAGAAATATTACTATGGCTGCCAGTTCTTTAGCTTGCCCGTGCAAGAACTTCTATGCTCCATGGTGTTCGTCTTATCCTTTTATCTGTTAAACTTTTGCCACAAGCACAATTGTCTCATCTGTTTGACATTACCCTTTGGAAAGGTCCAGGTGATCCTTTCTTGACAGTCTTTAGGGACCAATGAAATGGAGATTTTTATTTTTAAAACATGTATAGCTCTTTCTTTTATCTGAATGATCTTACGCCATATGCACTTCCAAGTCACAGTTAATTCACTTTGGCCTTTGAAGGGGGCCTTTGTTATCCTTTTCAACTTCAGCGACCCAATATCATTAAGATGGAGCAAATTGAACAGTCGTGAAAATTGATACTCCTATTTTTTATCATCCTTCAGTGAACTATCTTGTTTTGGAATGCTTTTCTGGAGTCCCTTATGATTTTTGGATTGCTTTTTGCTTATCAATTGAGTTGCTTCTGCGGAGATTCTTTATTTATATCAACTTATTTTGGCATAAGGTAGAACCAAACCAAGAGTTCCAAGGCTTGGTGTGTGAGGGAGCAAACGTTCTCCCTTCAAAATTTCTTGAGGATGCTTTTCACGATGGATACGGTATGTTTCTGATGAACCAGTATTTTAGCCTTCCTGCTAACTTGTGCTATTTACTCTGTAGTTTTTTCAATCTCAAACCAAAAAACTTGGAGCACATTGCATGTTATGAGTTCTAGCTGAAATGAGACCATCTCTTTGCTTATTTGGTCTCAAGTAATGCAGGAAAAGTGGTTAACATCAGGCGTCTTGATGAAGCTATAAATTCCATCAATGGCTGGTACATGGAAAGGGGTCTTTTTGGCATGGTTAGTCTACTTTATGTTTTAGTTATTTCGGGCGATAGTCTGATATATGCTCGTATCAGACTAAAGTAAGGTTGTGCTGAGAGTATATGGTTAATGAAGTGTGAACTCTTAATGTCTTAATCTTGATTGATCTTTTAGGTATCAGGTGTTGATATCCTCTCAGGAGGCATGGTTAGACTACAAGTGTCAGAAGCAGAAGTTAACAATATAGCTATTCGTTATCTTGACAAGACGTATGTAAGCTCTACTTCAGACTCCTTGATTTAAGAGCCTTCATTTAGTAATGAATTCATAGGGTGTGTATTTTTGCTGTTGTCACAGTGGAGAGCCAACTGTCGGGAAAACAAAGCCCGAAACGATTCTTCGGCAACTCAATACCAAGAAAGGCCAGGTTCCACTGATTATGCCTTTAGTTTGCTTATACTTCTTGTAATATTTTCACATTATAGGTATTATGCATGTTAAGGACATCTCTGTCACTATTTTATCCCTATGAAATTTTGATTTATGACCAACCTCGTATGGATTAATGTGTGCTGAGGAAAGCAATTAACCTATGGCTATGTATGGGTCTTCCTCAAATGAACTTGTTTTATCATCTTAGTTTTATGTACAACATTGGGTTAATACCACGTTATTTCTCTAAGTGAGTTCTTAATACATCATTACATGTTGATTTTCTGTTCATTTTTCATGTCAAACTCCTGAAATCAAGAAAGTATATATTGTGCACATACAAATGCCATATGACTCAAAATAAGTTGGTCTACTCACATTATCATCTACATTTGGTGCAAAGCAACTTACCTGCTTATTGAGCTTCTTTTTTCATCTGAAAAATTGGTCCAGCCGTTAGCTTTTTGATGTGATTGTTGTTATTTTATCATGGTGCATGGAAGTTTGTTACTTGTTTTTTTTTAATATTAAAATATAACCTTTTTTACCTTGCTTCTGAAACAATTTCATGCAGGTATACAGTATGCTTCAGGGCAAAAGGGATGTGGATACACTCTTGACCATGGGCATAATGGAAGATGTTAGTATAGTTCCTCAGCCTGCTGCAGGTGAATCAACTAATAACTTCGTCTCCTTTATCTTTTTATTAGTATCTAATATCAGTTCATGTACTTCACATTTTGATTTTCTTTGATTACTCTATAGATGGCACCAAGGTTGATTTAACGTTCAATGTTGTGGAGCGTAAAATTGGAGGTGGAGTCTCTGCTGGTGGTGGAATTTCAAGCGGGTATGTGCTCTTAATTTTGTTGGATATAGCTCCAGAGAATTGCATTGTTACACACAATTTGTTGAGTGATCTCCGTGTGGTTTGATGTAGGATCACAAGTGGGCCTCTAGCTGGTCTGATTGGAAGGTACCAGCCTCGAATTCATGCTTGGTTGCCTTATGATTTAAGGGTGGTGTCATCTTTTCTTTATTTTTTCTTTTTTTTTTTTTTCCCTTTTTTTCCTCCTCTTTCCTTCTGAAGCATTCTGCCAATGACTGTTTCTGTCTTTTTGAGCCATGGAATTTCTCTTCCGGAAGATGATACAATGATATAGTTTCTTTAGGGTAGGCTTTTGTCCGCATGCGTGTGTGTATCTGTCATTTGTTTTTTTCTTTTCTTTTTTTTTGGGGCAGGGGAAGCTGACTTGCCCTTCTTTCTATGACCTACTGCACATCTGGACATCCTTAAAGCACATCTGCATATCTTAAACATAACTGATTATCTAGCAGCAGAACATGTATTTGACAAGCTGGTTTTTAATACCCAACTTCTTTTTTTTATGCTTGCCATACACATTTCCAGGTGGTTCTACCCCTTTCTGTTGTTTTAGACTGCCTTTTCATCCTTTTATTCAACAGCTTTACGCTCTCTTATGCCTAGCTTTTCTTTTGCACCATGTATTTCTGTTCATGGCTTTAATGTTTTTTTAATACAACATTATTGCCTTTGGATTTGAGATGCCTTGTCGAATCCTTTTTCTGCAGCTGTGCAATATACCATAAAAATCTCTTTGGGAAGAACCAAAAACTTAATTTGTCACTGGAGCGTGGTCAAATTGACTCGATATTTAGGATCAATTATACAGATCCTTGGATTGAAGGAGATGATAAGAGGACTTCAAGGTCAATCATGATTCAGGTAGTTTGAATTAAAACTGGCTCATTGTCTAAGGGTATGAATCTCTTCTTATTGATATTGTCCTTTGATTCTTTTTGTTTACCTAGAATTCAAGGACCCCTGGTACTCTTGTCCATGGGAACCAGCCTGATAACAGTAGCCTCACTGTTGGCCGTGTGACTGCTGGGATTGAATATGGTCGGCCATTCAGACCAAAGTGGAATGGTACCGCAGGGCTTATTTTTCAGGTATATTTTTCAATATTAATCTTTCACTGTTGCCCTTTACTTACTGAAAAAGTACATTGGGGAACTTTTTCACATTAATAAAGAATTTATGTCAGGGTTGGATTTATAGTGTTCTCTGTCTTCTAATTTGCTATTGCCATTCTGCTTTTCATCTTGAATCTATCATTCTAATCTTATCTTCTTGGTGCGATAAGTCAGTATTTTCTTTAGCTACTGAATTATGATGTATGACCCTTTTTTGACTCAATTTTAAGGTCCAGAAACTTGATTAATCCTTAAGCATACTGAATTCATGTTTCCTAATTTTTGTGGATACAGTAAATATTTAAAATACCGATGAATGAATGATAAAATGTTGAAATATTTATCATGGATTTTCCTAAAAGAATTGATATTTCCAGGTTGGGGGTTGCTCTAATTAATGAGAAAATGGGACATGCTCAAAATTTTCTGGGCATGTATGAAGGAAAAAGTTTGGAAGTAATGCTTAATCATTAACTCAAATAAGAAGGGAAAGAGGAAGAAACTATTAGAAAGGATAAAATGAGAATAAGTACGCTGTTGGAGCAGATGTTCACATCACATAGTAGGATCTTAGCCAATGTCAGCCGATCCCAAACACCGTATTCTATTGTGAAATATTACTATTTTGGTGTCTTTTTGCGATCTTGGTCCCTAATATGGACAATTGCAGCGTGCTGGTGCTCGGGATGACAAAGGGAATCCGCTTATACGAGATTTCTATAGCAGCCCACTTACGGCAAGGTATACAATCATGGTGGCTGCTAATATCTGTCTATTTATGTATTTTATAATGATTTAATTCCAGCTATTGATGACATTTTTAAATTATATGTAATTATTGCAGCGGTAATACACATGATGATATGTTGCTAGCGAAAGTTGAAACTGTTTATACTGGTTCTGGAGATCCTGGTTCATCAATGGTTTGTTATTTGATCTTGACGCATTTTCTGCCATTACTTATTTCTTTCAAATTTCTGGAGTTCTTTTCACTGTAGTGATTGTTTCTCTCTGGCCCCTTGTACAGTTTGCGTTTAATATGGATCAGGGGATTCCTCTGTTTCCAGAGTGGCTTGTTTTTAACAGAGTGAATGCACGTGCAAGGAAGGGTATAGTGCTTGGCCCTGCCCGCCTTCATTTAAGGTATTATTGTTTTGCACTCTTTATGTTGGAAAGTCAACTATCGCATATGTATTTGGGCCATATTTACTTTGTCGCTTGGATACTATCTGATGTTCTCCAGTTAGCATATCCCCTGCTGTTTGACACAATTCTAATATTGCAGTCTGTCTGGAGGACATGTAATGGGAAACTTTCCTCCACATGAAGCGTTTGCCATTGGTGGTACCAATAGTGTGCGAGGTTATGAAGAAGGGGCTGTTGGATCAGGCCGTTCTTATGTGGTGGGTTGTGGAGAAGCTTCCTTCCCATTGGTAGGTGACGAGGATTTCTCTTGGTTGGATGTGGAATTTGTTGAGAGTAATGTGGGTTTATCTTCAAATGCCTTTGATAAAATTATTTTTTGGGCCTACCTCAACTTCTTCATTGGGATGAACAATTCTTGTTAGTTGTTAGGCACGCATGATGATTGTCTTTCCATCGTAGTGGGTATAATTGCTATAGTATATTGGAGAGAGAAAAATAAATGATCTATGTCGGAGGATATGATTAGCTCAGTAAAGTCATAGCAGTCTAAAGGTGATTGCTAGATTATAAGTTACTCTCATTCTTCACCAGCATCTCTTGTCCAGAAGTTTTTATATATTTTGTTATTCTTGTATCCTTTTTTTTCAAAGTACTCCTGTTGGAAGTGCTGTTTATAAAATTGGTGACTAAGTCAATTCACTGCAGACAGGACCAGTTGAAGGGGTCATATTTTCTGATTATGGAACTGATCTTGGATCTGGACCCACAGTTCCTGGTAATGTTACGACAATTTGACTTTTCCTTTTTCAGTTTTATCGTTCTATGTCTCTTATGTACTTTGGCTAGTATTCAAGAATTGACTTGAGGTACACTTGGTTACGGTTTATGACATTTTGGCTCTGGAATCGTTCCCCTGATGCTGCTGTTGCCTTGCGTACATCTTTTGGTCTGTCCCAGCATGTTGTCTAGCACGAATAAGAATGCTTGAATTAACTTATGGATCTGGTCTTAACAGACAACTTGTAAAAGTTTGTTAATTAAATATGGATAGAATATGATTGGAGTATTAGAAATCTGTCCCTTTAATTTACACTGTTGTTTACATGATTAATATCATGAGAACTAGCAGATTCTTGTGCTCGCTATTATAACCTAATGCAATCCTCTCCATATCCTGGGTTTGGATACGAGCTTAGGGTTTAAAACTCAGTTGTGCTCTTGTAAGGGAGGGGAAAAAAGAGATTAAAGAAATTCTTGATGATGCTTGGCTTATAGAGTTTGTCGATAAATGTTAACCGTGTCCTGGCGATGCTGAGTTATTGATGTTATGCCCCTTTTATTTGTTACTGCATCCAAATTATATATCTTTCTAAAATATCTGCTTCGATGATCCCGAGCTCATTCTCATGCCCTTGACCCTGTTTGATTAACCGTGACGGCTTTTATAAATTCAGGTGATCCTGCTGGTGCAAGGCTGAAGCCTGGAAGTGGATATGGTTATGGAGTTGGCATTCGTGTTGATTCGCCTTTGGGGCCACTAAGGCTTGAATACGCATTTAATGATCAACGAACTGGGAGGTTCCATTTTGGTGTTGGCTTGCGGAACTAAGGCTTCGGTCATATGTTCCACTCTTTGATTTATCTGCTGGCGGAACTATAATCAATCACATAGAATGATCTCAGCCTAGTGGTTATCCCTTTTGTAAAGGAACATTGAGGTATCAGAATTCACTCACCAGAGAGTAAAAAGAGTGCCATATCCAAATGGTGGCAATTTAAAGAGGTTTGCTTATCCAACTTTACTAAAACCGTAATGTAAATTGTTGCTGTAAAAATCGTGCCTAACCTCTGCATATTTATAAAACTCTTTAAATTGCATCTCTATGACGTGAATGAATCTGTAGACCTTTAAAATGATCTATTTAAGAGATACAAACTAGTTTGTAACCTCTAAAATCCATCTCTAGGCATCAAACAAACAAATTGTCGGTGTTTCGTATTTTAGAGAAGTCCAAGTCTCTTTCTCGTCCGTTTTACACAACAGTTCCCTTCTTCCTACAGTCCGCACACTAGAATTGAGCGGTTACAATAGTGGTTTATTTTATTGTCATGGCCTCAAGATAACAAGCATGAGCACCCTAAATCTTATTACCTTCTTCTCACCGCGAAAATGCAATTTCAGACAAAATGCATTTTAATTTAGCAAAACTTATAACCATTAAAAAAAAAAAAACATAGTCGTATAAATAATGAGGCACATAATCAGTATTCCCTTAATCTTAAGAAAATAGTCCAAATTACAATTATGAATTTTAGTGCAATTCAAAATTTACAATATGAACCTTTTTTTTTTCGGAGATAGATGGAGTACATAAAATTTCAACCTATAATTCGTCATTTTCAATAATCAATATAACTTTCATTTATGGGAAGAAGTGAATATGAAGCAAATGATTGAACTGCTGCATATAACTATTATAGCACATTGACAAGTGCAACAAAATGGGCAGTATTAATTAGTAATGATTTTTATAGAACTAAAACTAAAGGATGAGACAAGTTGTCGGTTAATCGTTATTCTCTGGCTCAGTTTCTCTTCAGAATACAAATCCAATTTCCCGCTAGAAAATGGACGAAACAGTGCAATGAAACATGTTACCCAGTTATGAAAAAACTGAAATCTCAGCAAATATGAAGAAATGGATATGAATGCAAGAACCTTCGATTTGAATTGGAAATCAATAAGAAAGGGCTGAAATGCCAATTAAACCCATGTAAACATCGGAGATTTTCAAATTGTGTTTGCAGGGGCGAAATGCGCGAAATGCCTAAAATTTTATTTTGCAAAGGCAAAAATCTAAAAAAAGAAATTAATTTACACTAAAAATTTCCGTGAGGGGGCGATCGTCGGTCGCCCTAGCTCCGCCACTGATATTCACTATATCTCCGGGCGACAGGACATATTGCAAACCAGCACAGTCAAATGTCCCTTTCATAGATGTTTCAATTGCAGAACGCGCCTCCCCATTCACATCATTGTACTTGCCGCACAAATTGTGCCTTTTTGAATCCGGCAATGGCTTGGATTTTTCTTAAAGTGTTCAGTAATGGTCTATCTCTGTATTAATAAGAATATATTAATTGTAACAAATCTTTTCACTATATTGTAAATCCTTGGAGATTTATTTGAAAATATACTTGATTTTTCATTTATAAGTCTTCTTTTTCTTTCCTTTGGCATTAAGATTAATGTCATATTTTAATTTTATAAGATTACTTGGAAATAGAATTCTTAATTTAATAGATGGTTTGGTCTGGATTTTTTCTGTAATGTTGGCTACAAAAAATTCTAAACAATACCCAAAATACCATTTGAACCATTTATGAACTTTTTATTATTAATATTTATTCATTTCAAACATTATTATAAAATACATCCTATTTTAAAAATGTTAGTGTTGACATTTATCTATAATAAAATAAAAATACAAACTCATACATTCATATAAAATACCATGAAAATACAAATTGCGCAAGGCGCGACCACAAGCAACCTAGTCCTTATTTCTTATAAAAGATTCACCTCCAATTATATTTCAATATTTTGATTGGTTTAAAAGTTTTTGATGACATCAGCTTTTTTAAAAGAGGTTATAATCGTCATTACCTAATTATAATGGTTTTTAAATTTTTTCTGAACAAAAACAAAAACCTCCGAACAAGATTAAGAGCTTGAGCATCAAAGCGACGTCGTTTTTGACACCATTTAAAAGCAAAACCCCCAGACATTTTCCACGCTTGGCTTTCTACCCTCCCGGTGTTCTCCCGTACATCTCCCTCAATTTCAGCGATTTTTTTGTGCTTATCTTTTTCTCTCCCGTTGTTAACCCAAATTTGGTAGAGCTGGAGTTGGAATAGGCAGATCACGCTGGAGGCATAGGCCGTCGAGTTTAGGTTGGAGGTGGAGGCGGTGGACTGGTGGTCTCGCTGGTGGAGGTTTTCCCGGTGGAGCTGCTTCGGTGGTGGAGGTTACCCGCTATGTCTCCGTAGTCTCACTTAGCTGATTTTCGCCACGGACTGATTTCATCGCCGCTTTTCTCTCGGTAATGTTGTCCTCAATCTGGATCGGAATATGTATTTGCGATTTAGATCAGGTCTATTTTGATGTTTGTCGTATTTGATGATTTTGGTTTTGTTGATTTTGAGTTCTGATTTGTTTATTCCTTGTCGTCTCCTTCTGCTTCCTCCCTCTCCGGATTTTTGGTTTTTTTTATTTTTTGTGCGAATTTCCGTTGAATACTTTTAGTTTAGCTTTAATCGCTTGATTAATTGTTGCTGCTGATTATGTGATCTGATTTGTTCTCTTATTTATTTTCTCCGGTTTTGGTTAGTTTTAATAATCTTGTTTCGTCAGGATTTAGCAAGCTGGTTATATAAACATTTTTCAAAGGAATTATGATTAGCTCAAATATTCTTCTTTTTGTTGAAATTCAAGCATAAATTAATTTTTTTTTGTTTTTGGTTTGGAAAACTGTCTAACCTTCAATCTTTTGGGACCCCATGAAGTCAATACACCTCTCTGGTCGTCAGCGTATTGTTTGGTTATGCCTTTTGTTTTAGAATGTCTTCCAGGGTTTGCGATTCAGATCGAGATCCGGTCAAGAAGAAAATCCTTGAAGTTGTGCTCTTTAATTGCTCAGCGCAACATGATTTTCTAGAAGAGTTTGGTGATGAGTCAGTGAAAGATGATGAAACTAAGGATAACGCCTGCAGTGGCTGCATATCCTCCACGCCTTGCTGCAACGAAGAGAGGGTCGAGGTAAGATTTAACTGCAGATGAAGTTGCCATTTCTTTTTGTTGATTGGTGTATTTCGAACTTAGTTAGAATATATAGCTATAGTTTCAAGATGGAGGTTTTGAGTTATTAATACTTGAGTCTATCGGTTTTGTATTGTACTTAGCATTAAGGGAAGAAGATTAAGACACATTGTGATTTTGAAGATTATGTGATTGAGGAGAAGGTCAATTAGCCATTGGAAATGACCAATATCAATGATGCCGGGTCTGAATACCATATTACTGCCCAACGTGCCTAATTGCTACAATTTTCCAGCTTGTCCTCCTCATCAGTGTATCATAAATTTTGTGATTAAACTGTCGCAGTCATTTGAATCCTTTAATTTGGTGCTTGAATGATTCTTTTGATAGTTTATTTTGGTTCTCTCATAGTTAGATACTTTCTTTTGCATCATTGTTCTGCTATAAAGAAAAAAGTGTTTTGCTATGTAACGTGTTGAGAATGAGCTTCTCCTTGTTGAAAATGAATTAGCACTTATTCTGCCTGGACAGCTTTTGCTTCCTATTTTTCCCACTTGTGCCTTGTTTATCTAGAGCTTTGCAAACATTTAAGAAGTGACAGTTTGTGCAACAAGTGACGAGAGATGATTTGGAAAAAGAAGTAGATGGATATGAGAGCGAAGACACTGATAAACGTGAGGCTTATGGATCTGTGGTTCAGGGCAAGGGAATGATTCCTGACAGGGTTTACTGTAGCGGTCAATTACTTTGTTTTGCTTTTTTAAAAAAAAAAAAATTAAATTTTGAATTATTTACTGTAATTCGGTAAATTTTTTAAGTTATTGTGAGTCCAAGTTTAAAAAAGCAACGTAGCGGTCAGAGTAAAAAAAATTGTGGTTTTTCCTTTTTTGTTTTGGAAAAAAAATTGAATTTTGAATTATTTACTGTAATTCGGTAAATTTTTTAAGTTACAGTGAATCCAAGATTAAACTTGCAACATAATTACTATTTAAACTTTACTATAACGGTCAGAGTAAAAAAAAATCGTGATTTTGCTTTTTCTTTTTTTTTAAAAAAAATTGAATTTTGAGTTATGTACTGTAACTCGGTAAATTTTTTAAGTCACAGTGAGTCTAAGGTTAAAAGTGTATTATAATTATCATTTAGGGTTTAGTGTAGCGGTCAAAGTAAAAAAAAATCTTAGTTTTGTTTTTTCTTTTTTTTTTAAAAAAATTGAATTTTGAATTATTTATTGTAACTCGGTAAATTTTTTAAGTTACAGTAGGTACAAGGTTAAAAGTGTAACATAATTGCCATTTAGGGTTTACTGTAGCGGTCAGAGTAAAAAAAATTCTTAGTTTTGCTTTTTCTTTTTTTAAAAAAAAAATAAATTTTGAATTATTTACTGTAATTTGGTAAATTTTTTAAGTTATAGTGGGCTCAAAGTTAAAAGGTGCAACATAATTATCATTTACTGTGTACTTAATGTAAATAGTAAATGAAAAAAGTAATTTTGAAAATAATGATAAATTTTAAAATTGTACAATAATATTTTAATTAATAAATAATATTTTAACAATTAAATAATGAAATTTGAATTTTAAAATATTTTTAATGATTTAAATTTTAATAAAAATTTAAATTAAATTAAAAGACAAAAATACCCATGATTCCGACATGTCAACGGCCGGAAACAGTGAAATGGAAAAAAAAAAGTGAAAATATAATGTTTGGGACTACGATATTGAAATGTTAATGTTAGGGACGTAAATTCAAGTAGGCCCAAATGTAAGAAACCATTTGGACATTTTAGTCTAAAATCGAACTCCCTCACATTGATGCCATTTGTGTATGAGCGCCAACCTACTCTTATAAAACCCACATAAAACAATCGAAAAAATTAGATCTTGAAGCATATCCATAAGCCGGCAAATTTGTCGTCCCAGAAAATTTCCTGACATTGTCATGATCATGATCATCAAGAAGAAATCGATCTAACATTAATGCCTGCAATTGATCCTCCAATGTTTGTTTCTCCATCCGGCAAAACTCAAACTCTTTTTTCGATTTCATCAAATAGGCTTTTTTAGCCCTTCGGTCCACATCATTCATGGCTTGCTTGTCGGGCAGCTTCCCTCTCCAATGTTTTCTCTTTCTGAATCTCCATATCCCAGGATGGCTTTTACTGTACACGAAACTATAAAGCGTTAGCAAATATATTTGACGACATAACTGGATAAGAGAAAAATTGCCTTTCAGCACTTTTGATGCGAAAACACCACCTATAAATAAAAAAGGTAAAACCGAATTAGTGGCTTAAGTAATTAGATTAGAGTCGTTGAAGTAGAATTTGTTTAGCATTTTATATTAAAGCAAATAAAATAGGAGAAGTCTAAACTCTAAACTCAATTGGATCTTGATAATTATGAATTTCCAGATGATGATAAGATTCGCTCAGCTGATACAATCTTTTTCTTTCTTTTTTTTTTAATGGGAATTACGCAATTAGTTTCTACAGAATTTATCACTAACAGATAATATACAAAAGATCAATCATGAAATGAGCATAGTATCAATCAAGTAGTTTCCCGCAAAAGCACCTAACTAACTTCGGGACAACTGAACGAATCATATAACAAGTACAAAAAAAAAAAAACAAAAACAAAAACAAAAACAAAAACAAAACAAAATAGAAGAAGAAGAAGACAATCAAATTAATCAAGAAAATGATTTGTGTAAGTTATGTACCTGAAACTGGACCAGTAAACTGGCGAACCATTTTAATTCATCCCTCAATTTTTATACTTACAAGAGATAGATGAAAGTGAAACTTTTAAGGGAAGAAGGTAAGAAAATGTGAGCAATTTCTTTGTAACGTATGTTACTCTGTGTGAACAAATCATGTAAAAAGTGTGAAAATTTTTCCAATTGATAGTTACTAATTCTTACAAAAATAATAAAATAAAGTGTGAGCTTAATCTAGTGAGGCAAGATATCAGTTCTTTTAACAAATAAGTCTTCCGAAAGATCATTTTACCCTTCGTGCTTAAGATTTCAAAACGTTTTATAATGCCATCTTATCAAATGTACCAATTTAGTTGTCCGTAAATTTTTACTTTAGTTTGATAGTTTTGTAACAAAATTTAATGTAAAAAAAAATATAATGGTTTACATGTCTAATAAAAGTTGCAATAATAGTCTGTCATCAATATTTCATTCCCGTTCTTAATTTTCAAAATTAATTAGATCACACCATTACGAACCTTTTTGTTCCTTTTCTTTTGTTAAAGTAGTTTGAAGTATTTTGAGCGCAAATATATATATGTTAAAAGAGGAATTCCTAAAACAAAGTTTTATCAAATCAAACGCTTAACTGCAAGGAAGGAACGTCGAAGGCACCTTGATTACACACGCTTAAAACGCTAACTCCACTTTTTATTTTATTATTTTTATTTATCTGTTGATAAATTCAACATTTTTTCAACATTTTTGAAAAAATTTGTCGCACATTTTGCAATGCAGTATAAACAACATTTTTCCTAGTTTATATGACAACTACAGAACTTACTCTTTTTTTACTTGATTTTTTCATCTTTAGTAAAATTCAAGTACATTGTATATTAAGGACTACAATTACACAAACGAACTAATTTTCAATCATTATTTTTAAAATTTATGTACATATTGTGATAAGTAAAAGAAATAAGTGGAGACAGTGATAAATCTTTGTTTAATGTGTTTGAAATACGCAATTGTCTAAAAATTTGGATAAATAGAGGGACAAAATTAAGGGAGCGATAAATATTTTTTGTGTTAAAAGGTAAGGACTAATGAGAGAACTAAATCTCATCAGGAAAAAATTGATGGTGTGATTTGTATGGATTGACGGAATTTTTTCGGTTTAAATTACAACAAAACACCAAATTTCACAACAGCAATAATAAGTGGAACCAATGTTTCCATTTTATTTCTCTCCGGCCTAAAAAACAATGTCATCGGAAAGAAGACCATGACAGCGGTGGTAACACTAAAGAAGGATACTCTAATTGTGATTGCGATATGGGTTATTGTAGTTGTGGCGGACGGCCCGCAGATCACGGCGTTGGAGAAAGACTTGATCTTGTTAACGATGAAAGTGGAGCAGAAGACCCTGTTGTTGAACAGAGTGTTTTGAAGCCTAATAACCATTATTATTATGGTGGTGGTATATCATTCCAATACGGAAACGTTTCAGAGTTTCAGTTTAACTATGTTGGAGATGGGAAAGATTACAGAGGAAAGTTCACCAAAGGCTACAAGAGTGAAGAATTCGTGGAGAAAAAGACTGGTAAACTGGGGTTGATGGCAATATTGGAGGGTTAAAAATTGAGCATGAAACACAGGCGAAATCCACCAAAAAAAGTCACCTCCACCTCCAAGAACAGGAAGTGAAATTTTTTTTTTACCGTGGCTGTTAGTATGCATTCTCTATGGATACGGTTGTTGATTAGAGTCATATAGGGTAACGATTCGAATGATTCTTTACTTTTTTTTTTCAGAAAAATTGGCCGATCTACCTAAAGGTTGACATGCGTTGTCAATCCTATCCTATTTTTTTTCGATTAGCCAATATTACCCTAAGCTATCCAACCGTTAGCCGATTTTGTCCAATTGGCCAATTTCCGTTTAAATTAACGGAATTCTGTTAGTTTTAATTATAAAAAATACCTTAATAATTTTGAAAATTATAAAAACGACGCTAAAAATTTGTAAAAATAAACAAACAGTCGTTTTACACTTTTTATTTAATTTTTTCTGTTTTCTATTTATTTTTATTATTTCTCATAACGATAAAAATATATTATATGATCTTTTTAAAAAAACTATTTATTTTTAAACACTACTATGCAAATTTATAGATACGTATATTTGTAACTCATGGTTGATTTACATAAATATATTAATTTTTTAATAATATAACTTGACAATAATGATATTAGTTTTTTTAATCCTTTTTTCAATTTAAAGAATAATATTTTTTGACTAAAAACTAATTTTTTACAAAAAAAAAGTAAAACATTTAGCATAGATTAAAAATTAATATATTAGTACATTTTAATTTATTACAAATTGAATAAACAAACTATAGATTGTATTATCCAATTCAAAAAATTAATAAACTAAAATTTAGTGTATAATCTAGTGTTTAGGGTGTTGAGCTTCATGATAGTAGATAGAAGATTAATTCTCACCAAGGATTTCTAATCGGGAGAGTGATTTTATCCACATTTATGTATGGTTTACTAAAAGTGAGAGGGTTGAGTAGGATGGTCAGGTAATTTAAGATGAGAGATGATTATTACTGTGTTCGATTCCTCGATTCTCATTGGGGCGATCTTTTTTTTTTTAAAAGGTGAAGTCCAGTACTGGAGCAGATTTTTTTTATTATTATTAAAAAAAATTTCCTGCTAAAGTTAGATATTAATATCTCAAAAAAACTATCACGAAATGTTAAACTCTCGCAATGATAAATATACATATGTTTTATAAAATATTTTGTACCATTTTTTTTTTTACTTTTTGTTTGTACTTGGCCTTTTAAAGAAAATGTATATTTTAGTTTAATTATTTTTTTAATTTTACAATACAATCTAAATTCTGTTGAAGTATATTGGAATAATACATTAAAGTATACCAATAAAAAAAAATTAATCTATGCTAAATGTTTTATTTTTTGTGCAAAATTAGGTTTAGCTAAATAATCTTTTTTTTAGATTGAAAAAAATAGATTAAAAAAATAATATCATTACTGTTAAACCATATTATTAAAAAATTAATATGTTTATGTAAATCAACCATGAGTTATGAATATGCATATCTATAAATTTGCACAATAGTGGTTTAAAAATAAATAGCTTTTTTTAAAAGATTATATAATATATTTTTATAGTTATGAGAAATAGTGAAAAGAAATAGAAAATAAAAAAAAATTAAATAAAAAGTGAAAAAAGACTGTTTGGTTATTTTTACAAATTTTTGGGGTCATTTTTATAATTTTCAAAACTATTAGGGTATTTTTTATAATTAAAACTAACGGAATTCCGTAAATTTAAACAAAAATTGACAAATTGGGCAAAATAGGCTAACGGATTGATAGCTTAGGGTAATATTGGCTAACCGAAAAAGAATGGGTGAAATTGACAATGCATGTCAACCTTTCGATAGATCAGCCAATTTTTCCCTTTTTTTTTCCCCTTCCTTACTTTTTCCTTTCTGCTTTTGATGCTTTTTGAATGTGAGCTCATTTTTGGGAGCTTTCTCTAGTGTTGAATGGACTGGTTCTTCTGTTTGGTTTGTGGTTGGGGAATATCGATCAAGTGCAGCGTTGAATCATATATGGTTTGTGACTAATTAATGCTTTTTGAATTTGATCCAAACAGCATAATCGTGACACTGTCATGTTTCTTTTATGGCAAAAAAATCTTCAAAGTACTGTTTCATGTAGGTAGCAAGGTGTTGTTTGATTGGACTCAAAAAAAATAAATAAAAATAAAAATTGAGTGGATGTGTTTTGAAAGATTGATTTGACATCCACCTCTGGGACTTGTCCCAGTGACCACTAGTGTGTCATGCTAGGCCAGAGGTGGAGGGATCGAATCGCCGCTCCTTCATTTCCCTTTCTCCATTCGCATCTTCTCTCCTCTGGTTTAGAATAAGTACATATTGTATTTTATTGTGAGAGTCTTACCCCACTTTTTGTGAGACAAAATACATGTAATTGTAGTATTTCAATAAAAAAAGACATCCACCTCGCCACATTGTAAAAGCCTGATTTATATATCGTATTTCCTCATCATATTATTCATACAATTTGGAAAAAAAATAAAATATCGCACAATGTGAGATGAATGTCTTCGTATCACTATTTCATGCACAATGCATTCTTAAGCATGCTATGTTCATTTTAGCCTCTAGAAGACTACAACCGGTCAGAATATCTTTGACTGTGATTTTTTTCTTTTTTTCTTTTTTTTTTTGGTCAAGGATTTCGAACTACAACATATTTTATACTATGATATCAATATATAATTTAGAAAAAGCGGAAATATTTTACCATTACAACATGCCAACTTTATGATCAATTACCTTATCTCTAGTACGTGTTTGATTCTTTCTGTTTACAAATGCATTTTCACCCACTTGTCAATACATAGAAGATTAAAATGTCCAAATGGTCCTTACATTTGGACCTATTTGAATTTACGTCTCTAACATTAATATTTCAATATCATAGTCCCAAACATTATGTTTTCAAACTTTTTTCGTCCCATTTTACTGTTTCCGGCCATTAACATGCCATAATTAGGGGTATTTTTGTCTTTTGATTTATTTTAAATTTTTATTAAAATTTAAATCATTAAAAATATTTTAAAATTAGATTTCATTATTCAATTATTAAAATATTATTTATTAATTAAAAATATTATTATAAAATTTCAAAATTTACATTTTTTTCAAAATTAATTTTTTTATTTATCATTTACCTTAGGTACAAAGTAAATAGTAATTATGTCTCACTTTTAAATTTGGGTCCATTGTAACTTAAAAAATTTACCGAATTACAGTAAATAATCCAAAATTTAATTTTTTTCTTTAAAAAAGAAAAAGAAAAAGTAAAATTAAGATTTTTTTACTTTGACTACTATAGTAAACCCTAAATGGCAATTATGTTGCACTTTTAAACTTGGGCCTACTATAACTTTAAACATTTACTGAATTACAGTAAATAATTCAAAATTCAATTTTTTTTTTAAAAAACAAAACTAAGAATTTTTTTTTACTTTGACCGCTACAATAAACCCTAAATGGTAATTATGTTATACTTTAATTTTAACCTTGGACCCACTATGACTTGAACAATTTATTGAGTTACAGTGAATATTTCAAAAATTAAATTTGAATTTTGAATTTTGAATATTGAATTATTTAATGTAATTCGATAAATTTTTAAAATTATATTGGGCCCAAGGTTAAAAGTGCAAAATAGTTACTATTTAGGGTTTACTATAGCGGCCAAAGTAAAAAATCTGGGTTTTGCTGTTTTTTTTTTTAAATAATTTTGAATTATTTACTGTAATTCAGTAAATGTTTTAAGTTACATTGGATCCAAGGTTAAACGTACAATATAGTTACTACTTACGGTTTACTGTAGCGGTCAAAGTAAAAAAAATAAAAAAATCTTGGTTTTGCTTTTTGTTTTTTTTTTTTTTCAATTTTGAATTATTTATTATAATTCGGTAAATTTTTTAAGTTACCGTGGGCTCAAGGTTAAAAATGCAACATAATCACTATTTAGAGTTTACTGTAGTCGGTCAAAGTAAAAAAAAATATTGGTTTTGTTTTTTCTTTTTTTTTAATAAATTTTGAATTATTTATAACTCGGTAAATTTTTTAACTTACATTGTGTCAAGGTTAAAAGTGTGATATTATTACTATTTAGGGTTTAATGTAGTGGCAGTCAAAGTAAAAAAATCATGGTTTCGCTTTTTCTTTAAAAAAAAAACATTTGAATTCTGAATTATTTACAGTAACTCGGTAAATTTTTTAAGTTATAGGGGCCCCAAAATTAAAAGTGCAACATACTTACCATTTATTGTGTACCCAAGGTAAATAGTAAATGATAAAAGTACTTTTGAAAATAATAATAAATCTTAAAAAATTTTATAATAATATTTGTAATTAATAAATAATATTTTAACAATTAATAATAAAATCTGAATTTTAAAATATTTATCATAATTTAAATTTTAATAGAAATTCAAATTAAATTAGAAGACGAAAATACCCCTGATTTCGGCATGTCAACGGCCGAAAACAGTGAAATGGGACCAAAAAAGTGTGAAAATATAATGTTTGGGATTACGATATTGAAATGTTAATATTAAAGACATAAATTCAAGTAGGCTCAAATGTAAGAGACCATTTGGACATTTTAGTCTTTTTATTTGGGTTCTGTAGACTTGATATACTTCTGTTGTTTGTTTTCCTTTCTGTAGGTCTCCAAAATAAGAACAAAGAGTGGAGAAGATGGCGCTCAAACAAGTTTGGTACGAATCAAGCAATAAGGAGAAACATCCCTGGAGGATGAAGATCATGCTAAAGAATTGTTGTGCGAGAAGAGGTAAAAGAAAATAATATATGGTGAAATTTTCCAGAGTAGGAATGACTTTGTACTAACTGACTTAACCCTTTGTGTTAAATAGATTTTGAGTCAGTAAAGTTTTTCAACCCCATACACTCTTTAGCCCTTCGTAAGCCATTTGTAAAAATACAGTTGATTTTGCATCAATAAAAACTTGTTATTGTATGCTCGAGTTGGTATCAAAATTAATACGATATAATATGTTAATGGGAATATAAACTGGTACAAACCATCTAGTAATTTATAACAAAAAAGTATCACACTATAATTTTTTTATAAAATATAAGTCGGCTACTGACTCCTTATATTTTACCCCCTTTCAAACCAAAATTTTTACAGTTCTACTTCTGCACTGCCATGACTAGAAACGACAACGTTCGGATCACTTCATGCTCCCTGAAGCTACACCATTATGATCTTTCTCCTCCTCTATTCTCTTCTCCTCCTCCTTTATTCTCAAACCTCCTCGAAAATACACAAAGAAGCCCGCCAAAATTTCCCAATTTCAAATTCAACCCCAAAACCTCCCTCTTCCTCAACTTCACTAAGCCCCTAAAGTTTCCAAATTTCTTCCACTCCCGTCCTCCCCTGAAGCCGCTGTTTGCTTCCATCTCGACTTCTCAGAACAATGGCGGCGGCGGTTCAGGTGGGGCGACTCAGTCGGTGCCGGCGGCGAAACGTTCGAGTTGGGGGGAAAAGATAATTTTGATCAGCGAAGTGTTGGTGCGGAACAAAAACGGGGAAGAACTTGAAAGCAAGGATTTGGAAGCGGAAGCATTGAATGCCTTGAAGGCGTCTCCCCCGAATTATGCTCCACCTCTTCGTGACGTTCGAGAAGATGTCCGCAAAATCCTTGCTACTGGATATTTCTCCTCTTGCAATCCCGTGGCAATTAATACCCGGGATGGCATCCGGCTTGAGTTTCAGGTATGTCTTTGCATGCAGTAATTTCACGCTTAGCAATCATGATAGGTTTCTTTAAATAGGCTCTTAGCTTTATCCAGTTGTGATTATTGTTGATATTTGCTCTCTAGAACTACATACCCAATAATAGACAAGAGTCCTGAGTGTGCATTCTACAAGTTTTTGTATATAATTGCATTTTTCTTGGAATGATTTTCTGGAGTGCCTTGTGATTTTCTATTGCATTTTGTCTGTTGGAGATTTTTAATTCATATCAACTTGTTTTGGCATAAGGTGGAACCAAACTAAGAGTTCCGAGGCTTGGTGTGTGAGGGAGCTAATGTTCTCCCTACAAAGTTTTTGGAGGACACTTTCCGTGATGGATATGGTATGTTTCCTGATGACCCAAAGATGTTTCCTTTCGAGTGTGTAGTTTTCTCAATCTCGTACATAAATGAAACTCATTGCATATTTTGAGTTCTTGCGAAAATGAGACCCTTCTCTTTACTTATTTGGTCTGAAGTAATGCAGGAAAGGTGATTAACACCAGGCATCTGCATAAAGCTACAAATTCGATTGATGGTTGGTACACGGAGAGGGGTCTTGTTGGAAAGGTTAGTCTCAATATTTTTTACTTTGTGTTAAGTACTTACAGCCACAGATACTCGTGTCAAAGTTAAGTATGATTGTGTGGAGCGTATGTTGGTTCCTAAGGGTGATTGGAGTTTCTTAATCCTGGTTGATTCTCAGGTATCAGGTTTGCTATCCTATCAGGAGGAATCATTGGAATTCAAATGTCAGAAACAGAAGTCAACAATATAGCTGTTCATTTTCTTGACAATACGTAAGCTCAGTTTTGGATCTCTTGATTTCAGAACATTTGTTTAGTAATGCATTCATAGGCTGTGTATTTTTGCTGTTGTCACAGTGGAGAGCCAACTGTCGGGAACACAAGGCCAGAAACGATTCTGCGTCAACTTACTACCAAGATAGGCCAGGTTCCATTCATTATGCCTTTACTTATCCTTATTGTAACATTTGCACGCTAAAGATGTCTTGCATGTTAAGGATATCTCTGTTGCTATTTTGTTCTTCGGAAAGTTTTATTTATGAGCTACTGGATTAATCTGAACCTAATTATTTTCTGGTTTGACCACTAATCCATGACTATATATATGGTGGATTGGTGGGTCTTCCTCAAATGAACTGGTTTTAGCGTCTCAATTTCATGCACAATGCCAGATTGGTAATATATTCTTTTCTCTAAGTGAGCACTTAAACATAATCTCAATTTAATTTCTGTTCATTTGTCATGTCAAGCACCTGAAATCAAGAAAGGATATATTGTGCACATACAAAATCCTTTTCCACATTCTAAATATAACACAAAAAACTGGTCTACTCACATTTTCATCCATATTTGGTGCTAAGCTACTTGCTTGCAACAGCCGCTGGTTGCGCCTTTTTTTTTTTTTAATCTGAGAATTGGTGTAGCCGTTGGCTTTCTGACGTGAACAAGATGGTGTTTCTTTTATTATTGTGTATGGGAGTTTGTTACCTGTGTATGTTTAGTTAAAAGATTATTTTTACTTTCATGTAGGTATACAGTGTGCTTCAGGGCAAAAAGGATGAAAATACACTCTTAGCCATGGGCATATTGGAAGGTGCTAGTATAGTACCCCAGCTTGCTGAAGGTGAATCCACTAAAAACTTCATGTCCATTAATCAGCTGACAAGACTTGGATTTTATTTCTTGGCTTATTTATATCTCATTCTATCAGTTTATGTTCTTGATATTTTGATTTTCTTTAATAACTCTATAGATGCCACCAAAGTTGATTTAACACTCAATGTTGTGGAGCCTCCAAAAATGCATAAATTTTTTTCTGGTACTGGTGGTGGAATCTCAAGTAGATTTGTACTCAGAAGTTTCTTTCATATAACTCTGTAGAATCGCTTGGACAATTGATGTTTCATCTTACTATGACTGCAGTATTTTTTAAAATGAACTGTGTTGTTTTATGTAGGATCACGAATGGGTCTCTTGCTGGATTGATTGGAAGGTATCTTGTTTTCGAACCCTGAGTTAATGCTTGTTTTCCTTATTTTTAGCCCATACTTAGGATAATGTTTTTAAGGGCAGTGTCACTTCAATTTTTCTGCAGCATTCTGCCAGTGTCAATTTGTCCTTTTTGTGGAAGATCTGAACCAATAATATAGTTTCTTTAGGGGAACTTTACAATTTGTCTTTAGATTTGACATGCCATATCATACGCTTTTCTGCAGCTTCACTATACACCATAATAATCTCTTTGGGAAGAACCAAAAACTTAATTTATCACTGGAGAGGGGAAAAATCGACTCAATATTTAAGATCAACCACGCAGATCCATGGATTGAAGGAGATGATAAGAGGACGTTAAGGTCAATCATAATTCAGGTAAGGTAGTTTAAATCAAAACTGTGTCTTACCGATATTGTCGCTTAATTCTTTTTGTTAATTCAGAATTCAAGAACCCCTGGTACTCTTGTCCACGGAACCCAGCCTGATAATGGTAACTTCACCGTTGGCCGTCTCACTGCTGGAATTGAATATGGTCGGCCAATTAGACCAAAGTGGCATGGATTCGCAGGGCTTACTTTTCAGGTACAGCGTCAATATCTATGATTCACTGTTTGCCCTCACTTACTGGAAAAATACAAATATGAAATATGAACAGGGGAATTATTCACATCAATTAAGAATTCATGTTGAGATCGGATATCTACTCCTCTGTCTTCGTGCATTCTCTTTTTGATCTTGAATTGATCTCGGATATCTCTTTGGTGTGGTCAGTCAGTATTATCCTTAGCTTCTAAATCATTTTGTGTGACTTTTTTTCTTGAATTATACAAATTTCTAAAATTTTAATATCTGACACTTTAAATCCTCAAGCACACTGAATGTAGTTTTTGGGGATATTTCCAAACTATGGATTGTATACTTATGAACACATATAATGTGCTGTTACTTGTGTCATAGATATTCTTAAAAGAATTGACATTGCTAGGTGGAGGAGGGTTACTGGTGAGAGCAAGACACTTAAAATGTTCTGGACATGTGCAAAGGAAAACGTTTTGATTTGCCAATTAGATGCGTGGTAAATATAGAATCAGTAACTCAAACCAGAAGGGAAAGAGGAACACCTAAAAAGTTGAAAGAAACTATTAGAAAGGACCTGATTTAATTAAATGAGGACAGGTAGACTGTTAGAGCATGATGTTCACATCACATAGTAGTACTTGTTGCAGTTGATTTTATTGGATTCCAAACACCATGTTCTATATGGAATTGTTATTCTATCTCTTTGCTACCCTGGCAACTAATATAGACAACTGCAGCGTGCTGGTGCTCGGGGTGACAGAGGCAATCCACTTATAAGTGATTTTTATGGCAGCCCACTTACTGCAAGGTATACAATCTTAGTGGCTTCTAATATCTTTCTAGTTATAATGATTTAATTCCAACTATTTGATGACCTTTTATCTAAAACTTTTATTCATTTATTGCAGTGGCAATGCCCATGACAATATGTTGCTTGCTAAAGTTGAAACTATTTATACTGGTTCTGGGGATCCTGGTTCTTCAATGATTTGTTATGTGACTTGACTGATTGTAGATTTTTGGAGGTCTCTGTTCACTGTGGCGGCTGTTTCTCACTGCCCTGTATCTTCTGCAGCTTGATTTCAAAATGGAACAGGGGATTCCTTTATTGCCAGAGTGGCTTGTTTTTAACAGAGTGAATGCACGTGCAAGTAAGGGTTTAATGGTTGGTCCTGCTCACCTTGATTTAAGGTATATTGTATGTTTGTACTCTTTATGTTGGGCAGTCATCTTTATCATGTCTTCGGGCCATTTACTTTGTCTATTGAGTAAATTTCCCCTGGGTGATGTGATCATGGGTACCATCTGATGTTCTCCAGTTAACATGTTTACTTGCGTGGCAACAAGTTTCATATTACAGTCTGTCTGGAGGACATGTGGTGGGAAACTTTCCTCCCCATGAGCGTTTGCGATTGGTGGTAGTGGCAATGGTGTGCGAGGCTATGAAGGAGCCCTTGGATCGGGCCGTTCTTTCTTAATGGGTTCTGGAGAACTTTCATTCCCATTGGTAGGTGACAAGGATTTCTCTTATTTGGATACGTGGAATTTGTCGAGAGTAGTGTGGGTTTATCTTGTTCAAATGTTTGTGATCTCTGATAAAACTATTTTGGGGCCCATCCTCATGCATGATGATTGTATTTCGTTAATTATGATTGCATTACTGGAGAGGGAAAAATAAATGATCTTTGCCGAAGGCTATGAGGTCCTTCGTGAGCAATTATGCAGTTATTTAGCTTAGGAAATGCATAGTCTAGAACTGATTTCTAGATATAAGTTCATCTTATTCTTCACAACAATCTCTTTTCCAGAAAGTGTTTTTCATATATTTAGATAGCAGCTTATCTTTTCGTTCACAGTACTGTCGTTAATTGTAACTGCAGTTTATAACATTGGTTACTTAAATAATTGCAGACAGGGCCAGTGAAAGGGGTCGTATTTGCTGATTATGGGACTGATCTTGGATCTGGACCTACAGTTCCTGGTAATGCTACAATAATTTGATTTTTTCCTTTTCTCAGTTTTTCGGTTCGATGCCTCTTCTGTACTTAACTAGAGGTACACTAATTTTTGCATTATATTCCTAATAAGCAGTTGAACAATCCTCATGTTGTCTGTAGCAACATCTTCAAAAATGTTTTTGCGAATGATGTTGTTGCATTGCGTACATTTTTATTCCTAATAAGGAGTTCAATAATCCCCATGTGGTCTGTAGCAGCATTTGTTCATGCATGAGTAGGAAGGATTGTTCTGTTTCTTTGCCGAATAGGAAAGCTGCAGTTAATAACTTGCGGATGTGGGCATTACAGAAAACATTTGAAAACTTAGTTATCTTTAGATACACAGTTTCTTATGTGATCCATATTCTCGAGAACTAAAATAATTTTGTACTGGCTATTAACGGAAGCCCCTCCTTTATGCTGGGTTTAAAACCTAGAGCTCTGGGTTTGGGTTTAAAACTGAGATCTGCTTTGAAAAAATGAAATATGAAAAGGAAGTGGTGATCATGCTTGATGTAGGGATTGTTTTAATAAAATTTTTACCCTATAATGGAAAAGATGAGTAATTAATGCTATGCCCCTCTAGTGTCTAGTCTATACTACACTCGTAGTAGATTTTTGTTTTAAGTTTGAACTTCTATGACTGAGCTCTTACAAATGCCCTTGACCTTGTTTGATTCACCGTGATGACATTTATAAATTCAGGTGATCCTGCTGGTGCAAGGCTGAAGCCTTGTAGCGGATATGGTTATGGAGTTGGTATTCGTGTGATAACGCCTTTGGATCCGCTGAGGCTTGAGTATGCATTTAATGATCAACGAATAGGGAAGTTGCATTTTGGTGCTGGCTAGCAGAACTAAGGATTGGTTATAAGTTCTACTCTTTAATTCGTTTGCTGCAGAACTCGGTTACTTTCATAGAATGTTTGGTCAATCTGAAGAGGTTTTGCTGATCCGAACTTCTTCAGAACCATAATGTAAATATTTTTGTGCCGTAAAACTCGCAACCAAGCTCCGCAAATCTGTAGAGCTTCCATTTTAAATTTTGTTACTACCACTGTCACAAAAAGATAGTCCACACTGAATTTGAAACTTTGTTCTAAAAATATTACAAATTTCTAGATTTATTTTTCAGAATGGAAGGAGTATTAGACAATGCACATTATTGTTTTAGATCCCCTACCGCTTCCATGAACTTGTTACATTATTCGGTCAGCGTTTGTTTACGGTAGTATAACTTTGTTAGGGTAGGAGAAAATAACGATGGTATTTGCATTTTTGATATTTTGAAACTGTAAGAGTGATAGGGAGGGGGAAAAAAGGAATTTGGGTTGATAATATTTTTTTGAAAACAAAAAAGGGTCTGAAAAAAATTTTGACTTAATAATAACCGAATGTAATATCATATTAATATGAGTGTCTCAAAAAGAAATTGATTTGTGTTCGTTTAATTCAACATAAATATATTATGCATGCTGCTGGTGAAGAAGATATTTCGAGCGTTTAATTAAATTAATTAGGTGACATCAAAAATTATTTCTTTTCTCTTATTAAAAGTATCCAAATATTTGCATATAATATCTTAAACAATACTTCATTTTATCTTATTTAGTCGTTGGAATCACTTTAGTCGATTAGTTCGAATTAAAGAGGAGTAAATCCTTCTCCTCACGACTTTTTCCCATGCAGATCAGTCTCAGGCCTCAGCTGCGTATAGCGTACATCCACTAATTCTTCGTTACTTATAAATTACGTATTATTTCATTTCATGAATATCATCACCTTAATTTTCTTTATACTACTCCTTCCGTCCCACAAAAATAGTTCATATTGAATTTTGAGTTTTATACTGTTTTTAGTATAAATTTGAAAACTCAACGTGAATAATTTGTGTGGGACGGAGGTAGTATAGTTTACTTCAAGGAAACATCTTTTGAACATGAGACAAATTGTCGGTGATTCGTACTTAGGACAGAAGTCTTTTTCATGTCCGTTTTACACCACAGTTCTCTTCTTCCTACAGTCCACACACAACAAGCAAAAAAAATGCAAAGAAGAAGAAGAAGAAGAAGAAAAGAACTGAAAGATGCATGAGACCATTTGCCTAGAGACAAAAAAATTATAATGAACCAAAAAAAGCAGATTGATGAAAAACCACACACACACACACACAAAATATATGCAAAAACTGCAGAGATGGAGATTATGTGGGAATTAGAGAAATGGGAGCAAAACATGTTGTCAAATCTTTGGAGAAATGTTGGGCAAAAAAGGGTCAAATTAGTCGGGCTTCACAAAACTTGTGTTTCATTGTCACATATACAATATAGTTTATTCTATTGCTGCTACATTCCCATTTATAGGTGCACCATCCTCGTGTGTTCTTGAGATATCAAATACTGGTGACATTTTTTATTTTTTCTTAATGTCACAAGAACGATTAAATTTTTTTCATAGTTTATAGTTAATGTGTAATTTCGGTTCACACATTTTGGTGTGGTTATACTTTAGAACATTTACTACTACTCCCTCCGATCCTTATTATAAGTTATTTTAATTTGTCCTACATTTGTCCTAAATTTCACCTAGGATATTTTTTTAATTGAAATAAAAACTTTAAAAACATTACTTAATAATTAAGAGAACACGATGAATGTGAAAATATATTTCTGAGGTTTTTTCTCTAATTAAAAACGCATCATAGATGAAACTTAAGACAAAATTAAAATATTTTATAATAAGGATCGGAGGGAGTATTATTTTTTTATTTTCGAGAAGGAGAGATTTCCTCACTATACTGTTGTGATCTATAGTTCTAGTTGATGAAAATCGAACGTGTGATTTTTTTTTGTTAGAGTTCTCTGGGCTCTAAAGTCTAAATGATTTAACAATGTAGGTTACTGTTAATTCCCCAATCTTGTTAACTTAAATCCACAAAAATGAAACATTTTGCCTAATGCTTTTAATATATTAGGTAATTGGTATAGTTGTAAAACAGTACAATTTGATAAGCATGTAATGATTTTAGATTAAAAATAAGCCGTATCAATATATTTACTATTTAAATAAAATTAAAACAGAAGAGTTTTGACATAATACCTAGCTCGATCATTTTATATCTTCTCATACATATTGGCGTCGTCCTCTTGTCTATGACTAACTATTGCTTGGAAATTAAGAAAGAGAAGGAAATACCGTAATGAACGATTTGCAATGGATGAGATTAATTAAGTTTTGCAATGAGAAATAAAAATGAAAATGATGATTAGATTGTATCTGAGTTACAATGACATTCATCAGTAATTAGAGATAATTAACATTTTAATGATACGACTATCTTAGAACATAGTGAAAATTGTTAGAATCGCAAAGAACTGTTACATAGCTAAAATGAGAGGATTTAATAAATTAAATTGTAGCATTTTATATTCTCTTGGTCATTAGTGAGTAGTAGTAGTACTCCCTCCATTCACAAATATTTCACAAAATTTAGAGAGATAATAATTATCTTGTTAAAATATTATAATACCCACATTTACTCTTAATACAATTATAGTCTCAATAACATTTAGTTCTAATACAATTCTACATGAAAAATCACTGCAATTTTTAATATAAAGGTAGTATTAGAAAAAAAATGACAAAATATGTCTCGATTTTTTAGAACGACATCTATTTTGGAATAATTGATTTTTCCTCCAGCGACATCTATGTGTGAATAGAAGGAGTATTATTTAGGCCTTATTATTCGAATTAAATATCTAAATACACTACATTTAAAGTGGAGTCTATTGGATGTTTTTTTTTTCAAAAATATCTGAATACACCAAGAAGGGTAAAGTTGGAATTCTAGCTACGCCACAATCTTCCAAACTTTGTGTTAACTCTTGGAAAAAGAGATAATTAGAGTTCTTATGTAGTACTTCCTCCGTCCCATAATTATTGTCCTGTTTGAGTTTTCATTTTTAGTTCAATTTGAACTAAAAATGAAAACTCAAACAGGACAATAATTATGTTTGAACTAAAAATGAAAACTCAAACAGGACAATAATTATGAGACGGAGGGAGTAGTACTTTTATTTTTTGGTTCACCAAATCACAAAATTCATTTCCTTTTTTTCTTCGAAATGTGATCATTTTGCAAAAGAATGTGGACTAATGTCTCCCATCAATGTCAACCCAATCAATAAAAATATATATATATATATATATATATTGCATCGTTTTTACAATTTCAAAACACGAATTCGCATTTTTTTTTAAAAAAAAAAGAGTTATTCATCAATCCCCACGTTAATCTAGCTTTTGTGTTGTTATAATAACCTGCAGGTTATCCGACCAGGTTCAAACTTTTGACAGAGGTTTGTCCACAGTCCACACGGTTGGACCTTGTTTATTGTTTCCGATAAATAATTAATCTGATGATCAGAAGAAATAACCTTAATATTATCTTTAGATCAGATTTTCGTGTCTTTTAATATATAATATATAATAATATGTCTTGGATCACTTTTATCAACCCATGCACTAAAAAGCTGTTAGATGTAACGGTATTTGTTAGTAATAATAGTGTTTCAATTATTGAAGCAAAAGCTACCTACATATACTGTACTGATTAGTTAGTCAACTACGTACACCATGTATATAAATTGTACAGTAAGATTCATGACCTACGCAAAATTACGGATCAAGAATAATACTCCTATATCTAAAAAACAAATAGTTCATATTAAGTTTTCAAATTTGTAATACAATTAGTATAAATCTCAAAAGTCAACATAAACTATTTGTTTGAACAGATGGAGTATTAATTTTTTTTTTAATTATATCATGAAATATCATATAGTACAAGAATTGAATGACAGTCTAGTGGTTAGGTTGCTTGTTTCTCACAAGGGATTATAGGAGGTTTTACCCATATTTAAGTGGAGTCTACTGGAATGATTTTTTTTTTTTAAAAAAAAGAAATATCATATAGTATCACTCTAATACATCCAATGAAGGTGAAAAGAGTGAGGGATTCGCGTGCTGTTTGTTATTTGGTTTATTTAACCCAAGCTTTTCTCTTGGAAATATGATAGTAATTAATGTTTCAAACCATATATAGACGAGAGCACATTTTGTTAAAAGGAAGAAGGAAAAAAAAAAAAAGCGGAAGAAAAGACTGAATATGGTAAATTACCAAGAGAGGAGGTGGGGACACAGGTCCCCCGGTCACTAGGAATCTCCTTCGGGCCGTCTCGCAACGACTGAGAAGTCAAATTCTACATGTTCATTTTCTAAAAGGAAGAATAGGTCTTTTCATCCAAGATTTGAGTTACGCTATCTAAAACATCCCAAAGTTTAAAAGTATGTTATTTTCATTCTAAACTTTTCAAAAATATGTAATATTAGGACATTTGTTAATTTTTTCAAGTTATTAACGGTGATACATTCAGTTTCTTTTCCCCTATTTTTTTTAGTCAAAAAAGTTTCATGATTGCGTTTGGTAAATTTGGTCCATGCCAAGCAAAAAAGTTGCATGCCCCTGCATCAATTACAACACCAATTTTTATAATAATACTACATATTTAAAAAAATAAATGAAATAGGCTTACATTCTAATTAGGACACACACAAAATCTCTCATGATTGTTATCAATCTAGAAGGCGAATCTTGGATTTTTTTTTTCTTTTTCTAAGCAAGGGAAGAATGGATGATGTGAAGACCAAATCAGGTTTAGCTATTTTCTTATAAGGTGGGAGTTAGTGGAACGTGTTAAATGCTTGAAAGAATTGGGGAAGGAGAAACAAAATAAAGTACCACTACTAATTAAATAATTGGAGTTAAAAATTTAACGAATATCCTAATG